AAGAGAGAGGCATGCGTTCAACATGAACAGGAAAGGCTCCAAGATTTAGTCCTTAAGCGACACAGACGGAGTCACTGCAAACCGGCAAGCCTCCGTCCGATCTTTATTTCAAATTAAGACTGGTTCTTTTCCACGATAGCAAATCTAGCCAACCGTGCCATATGTATCTTCCTATATCTCGTAGGTGACAGGAAATCACCTGACTTCTACCGTGTTTAAGCAGGGCTAAGCACTACACGAACTTAAACTACATAGGATTTAGGGTATCAATATCTGGACAAGGATTGGATAATCAATGCAGCAAGTGTTTGCATCCAACACCTAAACTTAATGCAACAATATATATATGTAACAATAATACTTTAACTGCATTTCGGAAATTAGGAGGCTTAATATGCTCCAGGGCATGCCTGGGATCCGACACAAGTCAGTTCAGTTAGCTTGCACCGCCTTGGTGACACCTTCGGTCATGGCACTTGCTTAGTCCTTCCATCTTCGGGATAGATCCATCAAACGTTGTCTTCGGGTTTGGCTCCAACATCACGTCCTTCACGTGGTGCATCTAGCGCACCTAGATGAGATGCAATATGCAAGTGTATGAATACATGAAAGTGCAATAGGAAATGCATCGCATGTAGTAACTAAGACAAGCACAAGGTTACATTAACATGCACAAGCACTTCGCATTGCCTACTTTAAATATCGCACAATTTATCATCCCACGATAGCAAAGAAGACGACAACACCAAGCATGACACAAGTTTTCCAAGATCTCAGGTGCTCTAACTCAGTCATCATTCAAGGCATAAATCACACTTAACAATATACAAGCAAACACTATAATTGGAATCTGCTAATTTCTGGACATTCAAACAACAGCTACAAGATTTAGCTATAACTGGAGTTATACAAATCCAAATGACTTGCAAGAAGACATTTTGGAAAGCTTATGAAATTATCTATATTTCATCTGTAACCATCATAGCATGATTCACAAGTTAAGTAGGTCGAAATTGTACATTTACAGAAACTGGTCCATACAAAACAGAGAGCAACAAATCCTGTATTCTAACTTTAAACAGTTGTAACTCAAACACTACTCAGCCAAATGATACCAAATTTTAACAGCAGCTAGATACATAAATTATCTACAACTTTTGTATAAACAAGTTTCACAACAAAGCACCTTATCCTGAAGAACTTTGCCAAGTTCCCAGATCTGTCCATAAACCACATCGGTAAGAAAATAATTATTAACTTATGTTGCAAATTCATAATTGGGCAAAACCAACTTTACCAACATTTCACACAAGACTAAAGAACACCAAAAAGCATGGTGCTCACCTCTAAATAAATTTTCTTAAAGCATTTCTTAATTTATTTAGACATCAAGGTGTATTTATGAACATATACCAAAAATGCACAATAAATTCTACAAAAATTACACTAGCTCACACATCCTCTCAATAGTCTTTACAAATTTCATATCATTTGCATAAGTATAGCTGCCTCTACGAAAAAGACAATTTGCTATTGCAAGAAATCATGTGAGAGCGAGATAAACCAATAACTCACTCATACTTCATCCAATACTCATGAAATTTTTACCACACATCAACTATCACATGAGTAGCATGCCACAAAAATTTCACTTCATTTGGAGCCCTAGATCTGCAGTTATGGAAAATAACAAATTCAACTAGCATTACAACCTTACTACACTAATCTATTTTTACCGCAAAATATTGAAACTAAAACATGCCATATTATAGATCTAATGCATATAGAATTTCACAAGGATTCCAAAAAGTCCTCATTTACTGTTTTACGAATTTTCTATGATTTATTATGATTTTCCCAAGTTCAGCAAATTTACTACAAATAGGTCCTTATCGGCACTATTCATTTGAGTCTATGGTTCTGCAGAAAACCCCCTGGACTTGCTCTAATTTTTGCACGAAGTCCCTCACCAGGGCAAAATAGAGGAGGCGGAGGGGGATTCACCGGTGCCGGCCGGAGGAGGCTCGCCGGCGGCGGGGGAGTGCAGGCGGAGCACCAAGAGGCCCGCACGCTCCCGTGGGTAGCCTCGGCTCAGCCCGAGGTGGTCCGTAGTGGTCTGACCACATGAGCACGGTGGGTCGGGGCTACGGCCACGACGACAACTGTGGACGATGGCGCTGGAGCTCGAAGAAGCGACAAGCCGGGCGGAGGACGGGGTGTCGGCGCTGATAGTGGTGATGACTGGGTCAGAGGAGCAACGGACGGTAGTAACAGCGGTGAGGCCGGAGCTCGGCTGGTCGGCAATGGCGGTGGCGGTGCTTCGGTGGTTCACAGCGCACGTGGGTGAGAACGGCGGTGGCGCGAGGCGGCTGCAAGGCCAGGGAGGCCGAGCTAGTGGCGGCTCCTGGCTTGAGGCGTGCAGCACCGTAGCGGCAGCATGAGCTCGAGCTCCGCTCGGCCATGGCGGCCACGGCGCTGAGCGCGAGCGGGAACGTGAGAGAGGGAGGCGAGGGCCGCTCGGGCGTGCGGTTATGGAGGAGCAAGAGCGCGACAGGAGGCAGGGCACGCGGTCAGCGGCGTGTGGCAATGGTGGAGGCGAGCTCCCGCATGGCTGCCACGCACGGGGCACGCGTCTCCCCTTGAGGCATTTTACCGAGCACGTGGTGGGCGACGGTATGGTCGACGTGGGGAGTCAATTTGGGCTGCTTCCAGGCTGAATTTAGCAATGGGCCCAAAACAAAGTTTGCTCACCTTGGTTAGCTCTACATTTCTTATTAAGGGTGGCAAGTCATTTGAGCTATGGATTAGTAGGTAATTAAGCTACAAACTACTAGTGTCAACACATTGATAACGGTCACGGAAATTCGCTTTCGGAGGTCAAAACTCGGTCAAACTCAGTGCAACTTTTTGTATGCTCTTCTCCATAATATAACCTTCAACTTTTATTTTTGGACCAACTCAAGTTGCTTAGCAAAATTTGGAGAACGCGGGATGTCAATGTCGATGTCAGTGAATTCCGGACTGCAAACATTGTCGGGCTGATTTCAGCTTTTCTATTAGACTTTGAGCCTTGTTTTGATCCATTTTGAAACCGAATCATGACTTGGTCTTTTAACAAAGTTTGTTATAATCAAACTTTTATTCAACTTTCATTTTTGGTCAAACCTCATATCTGGTCAAGAAGTCAACTTTATTTCTCGGTCAACGCAAAGCCCTTTTTGCTATAGAATCTAGGGTTTCCATGATTTTTGGATATTTTCTCCATCTTTGCTCAACACGAACCCTTCATAACTTTTGTTGTAGAGTTCAATTAGAGTTGTTGGAGCAAGGTTGCAAGGTTTGGTTGACGTCATAGGTTTCCATCTACTTGATAAAGTAATTCATGCAAAGATATGACTTATCATTTCATGTGACTTTTTGATTCCAAACTTCATAAAACTTTTCCATGGGTCTAGATGGATGCATGGGGACGTAATGTACATGGAATAAGCATGTTTAACATTACTCTTGCATAATCTTAACAAGGGTCCATATGTAAGCAAATGTGCGTGGCCCAAGTTTAAGTTGGAGCTCCATCATGTAGATTTGATCTTGACACCTTCATTACCACTCGACATGTCATGTTTGAGCTCAAACCCATTGCTTAACTGGTGACAAACACCTGGGGTGTTACACTGTTGATCTAGCACAGGAGCAGGTGACGTGGATACATGCGAACCTGAGCTGCCGCCACGGCGGCCGATAGGACAAGGAGAGCGGCGACGGCGGTGCCACAGCAGGAGCGGTGGCGGCGAGCTCCGTTCCGCCCTGTACGCAGTGTCGGTCATACGATCTTGAGGGCCCTCTGATGAACTCGTCACCATGGCTCCTCTAAAATCTTATAATATATAGGCAATAATAGCATAATATATTTTTAATCTAACACCTAAATTAGAAGGAAACCATAGCTATATGAGTACAAAATACTAAAAATCTGGAATACTATACAAATAATTAATTTGGATTAAAAACTGAACAAGAAAAAAATACCTAGGACATGGACATGAATTGAAACAACTGATTGGCGAATGCAATTCGCAAGGAGGCAGGAAAAGACGTCGTCGTCGTGGAGCCTTGCCCAGTCGCCGCCGTCGTGCGCCGTTCTCTGGTGGTCTAGCTCTCCATGCGTCGGCGCGTGGCGAACTCATGAGTCGTGATCAAAGTGTGTGGCGTGGTTCCTCGCCTCCTCTCTGCCTTGAAAAGAAAGACCAACGTTGTCTTCTTGGGCGGCCTGGCCAATTCTCTGTCTATCTTCTATCTTCCCATTATTTGACTGATGATGCCTAATGGACTATTGGACCTGATGGTTTGTATACCTAGACTTGAGCCCCTCCCCGGCATGGGCCGTCGGCCGTCGCACCTCGTGCCCTCCCCGTAGGGCCAGCACTGCCTGTACACAGAGGGGCAGCAGGAGCGTTCCCGGCGTCAGGTGGTGTGGGCGGTTTCACCCATGGGATCGGCGTGGATTGGCGCGGGTACCTATCAAGCCCAGCCCAAGCTAAATGCGCAATTTACCCACCACAGGCTTCCTTCCCCGGCGTGGGCTTCAATCTACGGTTGGCGGGGTTTGAGGTCCGATCCACGTGGTTCTATACTTTTTTTCAAAGGTCACAATGATGACATGCATGTATGTGGTTTGTTTAGAAACTCCATAAGTTTAGTTTCTCCAAAAAAACAAAGAAACTCCATAATTTTAGGAAGCCTACTTGCGCTATCACCGAGAGCAGCAGCGGGTTAACAGAGTTTTCTTAATTCTTTGATTAAAATTTTCACGTTACAATCAGTGACCAAGATTTTATTCGTATCTTATAATACCTCCTTGCATTGAACTAAAAGGTGTGCCCAGCCCATGGATGGAGTACAACAGATAAATCACATTCAAACTTGCAATATTCGTGAACACTTATTGATTCTGGCAGTAGCATATATCCTTGCATAAATTTAGAACTTCCACTCATTTATTAGTCCTTGTGCGTTCTGATAAATCGAATAAAATCGTCCATATACCTCTCTTGGCACTTCTCATCTCCAACAACAATCTTTTGCATCTTCTTCGCATTGGCCGCAAGGACCCTCCCACCTTCTTCCTCAGACATGACAGCTCCGATGGACCTCGCGACGCCTTCACGACTGAACGACCTGTCTTCTCCAAACCTCGGCACCTGAACTCCGACCTGCTTTGTCTCCATCAGCCGCGCGTTTATCCCTTGCTCGTCCAGAAACGGCAGCATTATCATCGGCTGCCCAAACACAAGACCCTCCACAACGGAGCTCCACCCACAGTGCGTGAGGAACGCGCCGACGGCGCCGTGAACCAGCACGTCGAGCTGGGGAACCCAGCCCATGGCGACGAGCCCGCGGCCACGTGTTCGCTCCACGAACCCCGGAGGCAGGATGTCGTCGGCCTCGGAGATGCCGGTAGGTCCCTTGAGAGCCCACAGAAATGGTGCCCCGGCGAGCTCCAGGCCAAGCGCAAGCTCGTGCAGCTGCTCCACGGTGATAGGAGGCTCGCTTCCGAGAGCGACGAAAACGGCAGACTTTGGCTTCTGGCTGTCGAGCCAACATAGCGGTAGCGCCGTCTTGCCATTGTCGCCGTTTACTCCTCTGTGGCCTTCTACTGGGATTGGGAGAGATGGCGGCAGTAGGCCGAAAGGGATCACCGGCTTGCCAAAGATGCTTGAGAGGAGAGCCATGGATTCGGGCTCCAGCTCGACGCAGCTGCGGCAAGCAACGAGCTTGCATTTCTCAAAGGTTAGTGCGAATCGTTGGGGTATTGATGGTGGCATGGCATCTGCGGCCACAGGCGGCAGAGACACACGCGGCACACCGAATTGTGCTAACGTCGTCGCTGAGAAGATGAGGGACAGGACGCAGGGCACATCGTGCTCTGCGGCAGCGGCGGCGGCCCAGTAATGGAAGCTGTCGACCATGAGCAAGTCCACCTTGTTGTGGTCATGGTCGGCATCGGCGGCGCAGGCGACGTCGAGGAAAGCCGAGAAGGGCGCGGCGAGGCCGTCGAAGGCCTTGTAGAACAGGTCCAGCTTTCCGGCTGGGACGTCACTGGTGGCCTCGGTGCCATCGGGGAGGCCATGGAGGCGTGGGAATGGCAGGGCCACGAAGTCGATGAGGCGGCGGGCAAGCCCGGGCGCGACCGGGCGGAGCCGGCTGATGTTGCGCGGGGTGGAGACGAAGAACACGCGGTGGCCGCGCGTGGCGAGGCGCTCGGCGAGCTCCAGGTACGGGAGCATGTGGCCGAACGCCAGCCACGGGAAGATGACGATGCGCAACGGCGGCGGCGAGGCGGCGTCCATGCGGCGCGGAGGGGGGCGACGCGACTCGTATGGTGGTGGAACCGAAGAGAACGAAGGGGATGATGTCCTTGAGCTACCTGTGCTATGAACGGCCCCTAGCAACCCAACCGGATGCATGCATTTCAACCACCACGGTCACGTGGCCGCCCACCCAACCGGATGCATGCATTTCAACCACCACGGTCACGTGGCCGCCCACACAACGGACAACGCCTACCAAAGGTTAAGTTGATAATATGATTGGGCTCATAGCTAGTTTGAAGCCTAATGGACATAACTCTTTTCAGCGAGGTCAATCATTTTGGAACTGGGCCGGCCCATAGAGCTTGTGTGCTCCTGGGATGTATTTGCTGAGAGCTGGTCTATGGTTATCTTTTTGGTCCATGTCCGGGCCCAGCACTGCAGTGTAAATGTGAGAGTCTTGTGACTGATTTCTGAAAGCCCTTGTTAATATAGAGGAAAAAGTCTACATAACCCCCAACTATTCAGGGTAGACTACTTCACCCCCCAAACTATAAAACCGGATTTTCTACCCCCTGAACTTTTCAAAACCGGTCAAATAACCCCCCCAAGCGGTTTTGGACGGTGGTTTGCTACAGTGACGGTGGTTTTATCTTTTTCTTTTTTATTTATTTCTGCTGAATCTTTGAAAAATCATAGTAAATCACAGAAAAATCATAAAATGGAAAATCCAATTTTGTTGGACTCCACATGAGTAGATCTACACAGTGAACATATAATATGGTATGCTTTGGTACAAAGTTTTTGCTGTAGCTTTAGATCTATGCTTTTCTGTAATTAATTTAAATAATTCATAGATGCAGCTTCTTGTCGATGTTTTACCACCGATAGCCTGCCACGGGGGTCCCCGAGGCAGTATGTTCGGGCTTCAGCGTATGCAGAACTCGATGGTGAACGCAAGAGACAGTCGATTTATCCTGGTTCAGGCCCTCGACTATGGTCGAATAACAGCCCTACGTCCAGGCGGCGTTAGCCTCTGCGTTGGATTGATTATGAAGTGTCGTACAATTGTTGTTCTGTTGTTCAGGAGCCCTGCCCTCCTTTATATAGTCAGGAGGCCAGAGTCCTAGTCGGTTTACAATGAGAGTTCCTAGTAGGATTACTGAATAGTACTACTACTGAGATCACATGGGAAGAATCCTAGTTAGACTAGATCTTCTCTCCCTGGCGGGGTATCCTGTGGGTCCCGCATCAACAAGCCCCCGATCACTTCATGGTTGAGCTCTGAAAGTCTCGTTTTGCTTCTTCAGGTCTTGTTGATGTAGGAACAAACGTCATCCGAGTGCTTTCTGGAGTAAAACCTTGTAGTGCTTCTTGGGATCTTCGAGTGGTGAGTACTTTTTGAAGAAAAAGTACATCCATCTGGTTGTAGCCCCCGAGCCTCTTGCTATTTGGAACAAGGAGCTGGAGGATCTTGTCTTGAAGTTGCTCTGATTGTTCGTTGAAGTTTTATCAAAAAGAACTCGAATATGGCTCGTTCCGGGTTCTTTTTGTCGTAATGTCTTGAAGTGGTCTGCGTTGAGGAAGTCTTTTGGTGACGTGCGTTTTTTCGAAGAAAAAGGCACTCACTGAGTGTAGCCCCCGAGCCTCTTGCTATTTGGAACAAAAAGTTGGAGGGTCTTGAATTTTCTTTTTGTCGTAATGTCTTGAAGTGGTCTGCGTTGAGGAAGTCTTTTGGTGACGTGCGCTTTTTCGAAGAAAAAGTGCACTCACTGAGTGTAGCCCCCGAGCCTCTTGCTATTTGGAACAAAAAGTTGAAGGGTCTTGAATTTTTATGTTGTTTGAAATTTTTTGTTCTGACGTAGTCCCCGAGACTTGGATTATGTCATCATCCGAGTAGTTTTGCGGCATCTTTCTGAAGCCGCCCTTTAGTCTTGGATTAAACCATCATCCGAGTAGTTTCGCGGCATACAGCCTCCGAGCGTATATCCGTGTTGTTTTGTTCAGGAAGAACTCGGACGTGAGGTCTTGGCGTATTCTTTGATAGTCTGCTGTTGTCAGATGTAGTTGTATGGTGATGGTTGAGTGTAAATGCCTTTTGTTCGCGGGTTGTACTGTGTTGGTATATTCTTCCGAATATGCTCGTCTTCGAGTACTGTTCCCTCTCGCCTGAGTCTTCCATTATTGAGTCGTGTCTTTTCACTGTGTCCTTTGTTAGACTTATTTCGTTGGTACTCCTAGTCCATGTGCACCGCTCCTTTGACCTATAAATACTCTCCCGGAGTGCTTGTTTTCATCCATTGAACATTCTGTTGAAACTTTCGTGGTCATGAACATGGTAGTTTGTGAAGTAGAGCAGCCCGGGCATATTTTGTAGTTCCTGTGTGTCTTGTCGTAGCTGGAGGAAGTCTTGTGATAGGGATTAGAGGTAGGCTAATCCTGCGACAGCATTGTGCCCGGATGCACATGGCGGTAGTTGGAGGAAGTCTTGTGATGCGGGCTTTGTTTCTTCATCTGGTAGTTCTGGGTTGATCCTCGTCGCCTGTCCTGAGACTGTCCGGTGCAGATCAACACCATATCCAGCATCACATCGGTCTTGGGTAGACAGATGCCCGCCGGCCTTCTCTGCTCCATGTTGTCCTGCCGTGCTGCTGATTTTCGCCTTGGATACACTGCGTCCGTCCTTTGAAGAAAACAGTGTAGCTGATGGCGGTTTGTCCTTCCAAGTAGCAATTTGGGACACGTAGTCGTTCTAGAGCCTAGCCGTGTCTGTGTTCCTCTTTGCTACTTTGCTTTTCGTGGTACCGAGTTCGTTGGGTCTTGTAAGATTTGTAATCTTCTATTTTTGAAGTCGCTTGTAATGGAACGAATCTTGTCTTCTGAGTTGTCCTTTACTTCTCTGCTGTGATCCCTGTCGTTCATGAGATTACCGAGTTCTTTCTTAAATAACCGGGTTCTTTTGTTCTTTGCGAGGTAGCCCTCTGTTTCTTCTTGGTTGACGGGTTTTTCTTGTAGTGATCTGATAACCCTGCCATGGTGCTGGACGGATAAGTCTGAAATATGCCCATTGGATTGTACCGTTGTGTGGATTTGTGCCCTCCGTCATTTTAGCTGCGTTGGTAAATGGACCGTTGTGTTCTCACACGGTGTTTTAACGGGCCTGGTGGGCCGTTTCTAACGCTATAAAATTTATTTATAGACCCTTCGTCCTCTTTTTCTTTACTGCCTTTCTTTTGCCTTCAAACCCTAGCTCTTAATCATCCACCATTGCCATTGCCGCCGCCGTCCTTAGCGCCGCCATCTAGCTTCATCTTCCCCAGTACCTTTTTGCTTCCACTAGTTCATGGGTAAGAAGAAAACCGCGAGCAAGTCCCAGGCGACCTTCATGGACGAGGAGTCATCCCTTTCTTTGATCGAGAACCAAGAGTTCGTGGCCATGAGGGCTGCTCAGAAGGTTTGGCCGGCTCCAACAACAAGCGAAGATCAGCTGCGCGAGCTCGTCAGCGACGGCTTGATCCAAAGCAAAGTCATCGCTGAATGGAGAGTTCCAGGCGAGCATCAGGTTCCTGCTCCGGGTCCTGGTGAGATTGTCCTCTTCGTTTCCTTTGTCCGCGCCGGACTTTGCCATCCTGCTTCCGCCTTCCTTCATCAGTTTCTTGGTTATTTCGGGGTTAGTCTGAACCATCTAACCCCTAATGTCGTTCTCCATCTTTCCATTTTCGTTCATCTCTGTGAAGCTTTCCTTGGAATCTCTCCTTCTCTATCTCTTTTTCGCTACTTCTTTCGTCTGAAACCTCAACCCCGCCGCGAAGAAACCAGCGTTCTTGGCGGTTGTGGGATTCAGTTTCGCCAGGGTCTTAAGAGCAAGTTCTTTGACTATGACCTGGTTGATTCTATAAAAGATTGGCGTGCCGAGTGGTTTTATGCTGCCAATTTGATCCCTTCCCTTGTCGTCCACTCTGGATCTGGTCCTATGGTGAATGACCGATGGGACAAGAAACTTGAGTCTCCTGCTGAGATTCAAGTGATCCAGCCACTCCTTGATAGGATTAGCATGTTGAAACAGCAGGGTTTAACTGGTTTCGGTATTGTTTCAAGTTTTCTTCATCGCTGAGTTCAGCCTTTGAAAGAGCGGGAGCACCTTGGCTTCGAGTATTCTAGGGCCGAGGATCCTTCACGCATGGTCCCAGCTCTTGAGCTGACCGATGAGGAGGTACTCGAGCGTCTCCAGAAGATGCTGAAAGGAGTGAGCGTTATTCCTCCTGCTGTCTCCGAGTTCTCTGCCAACAACCCGCCCCCAGCTATGAGTTGTTTATCTCTTTGTTTGGATACTTTATGTACTCTTGCTGCATCCATTTTTGCTTAGCTTTTCCTTGTCTTGCTATTTTATCCTTTTTCGTAGGAGCTTGGGCGGAACTTTGTTGACCCGATCCCTCTTGATGTTCTCCCTGCCGTGGCGGAGACTGGGGATAAACTTGCTGGAACTTCTGCAACTAGTAAGTCCCCATCCTCCACAGCGCTTCCTGGAGTTACTTCCGGATTTGTTGATGTATATGAAGAATATGTTCCTCGTCTAGTCCCTCGCGGTCCTCGTAGTGTCCTGAAGAGGGGGCGAACAGATGGGTCTTCATCTGGCCTGCCTGTCTCCAAGAAGCCTCGCAAACCAAGTACTCTCTCAGGTACTCTAGTTGTTGCTAGCATGCTCTTAGGTGAGCACATTTAATACTCTTTGTTCCTTTGTTTTCCTGTTTTTCTCTTGAACCGAGTACTTTTTATTCTTTTTTCAGCAGGTGCTCTGGTTTCCTTGGCTGAGGGAGAGGAGGATGATGAAGTACCCCTCATCATGCGGCGGTGAGTTGTTTTCATATTCCTGTTGCATTGAATTTTTCTTCTTTGTCTTGAACTTTTTGAAGTAACCGGACGTCGGGTACAAGTTCTTCTGAGGCTCCCGCGTCGACTTCTTCTGGAGCTCCGGTGTCGAGTTCTTTGGTAGCCTCGGTACTGAGCTCTACCGTTCCTCCAGTGCAGAGTTCTTCCAC